GTGTCCAAATTAGTCTGTGTTCTGATGGTCTCCTCCCCTTATGCAAAAGTAGGAGCAGAATGACATTGTAAGAGGGAGTCATGGGTTTTGGGGCTCATTCACAAACCTGAGAAATGCTCATTTCCTGTGAAAGTCACTCAAATATAACACCCACACATACCGGGAAGGAGTACACTGACACATATCTGATGACAGGTCCTCTTTATACTGGACGAGCGTCCGCGCGATCCTCATGAAGAGGAAATAAATCTCGGATTGAAATGTAATAATCCGAATGTTATCGGAGATTTAACAACGCGTCGCAGGCGGGCGTAGCCGCGAGGACAGCTGCGCAGGAACAATATATGCGGCCGATCCGCCGCTGCCAGCAAACCAGAACTTTTCATTGCGGAAAATCCCGGGCCGCTGATTGGACCGCGGGCGCACCTGGTGTTTACAGGACCCGCCAACGCGCCCTCGTGAAAAGTTTGTCTTCATTTTCGGCTTATTAAAAAAAAGTTTCATTTCGATGTTAAAAACTGCAATTTAAACGTCAGAACGGCCGAGAGCGCTGCCAACCGCCGGAGCGCCGCCAGTAAATAAAGTGCGACGGGGAGCGAGCGCAAGACTCAGAGTTCAGGTCGGGTCACACTGCAGCACCCACAATGTGAGAAATCGCGTGCGTCACGCATTGGGGTGCTGTGGCGCCGTTCACTCTTTAATGGTTCCCCAACACCCCTTGACGAGGTCACACCTTGCAACGCACCACAGTGCGTGAGAATGCATTACTGTGTGTTGAGGCGCAACGCATTCCCACAGAATTCCTGTGTCTGAGGTGTGCTGGAGGTCAGCGGCTTCCCATGACTCCCTCTTACAATGTCAGTCTGCTCCTACATTTGCATAAGGGGAGGAGACCATCAGAACACAGAATAATTTGACCCCGCCTCTTTTCATTTGATTGACAGGTGTGGTTAGTAAAACAGGTGACAGGTGGCTGATAAAAATGGGGGTGGGGATCGGGGGAGGATCAGGCTGGGGATTGACCCGCCCCATGACACGCCTACTTCCTGACAATGAAATTTGCATAGATGACGACTATCCAGGATTGGCTGGGACAGTCTCACATCTCAGTCCCCCCCGGGTGATGTCCCAGGACCACAGTGTCAGCCACTTAATAAGGCATTCATGATGGTGATTGGAGGTTGTGAGTGGGCGGTCCCCACATAATTATACGTGGGGGCTGGGGCGGGACACTCCGATGGGTGGAGTCTGAACAGCACCCGCCAGTCCCTGGCAGAAATTGTTTCTATTTCACCCGGGGTGAATGTCTAACTCTCCCGCCACGTCTGTGTATTTAGCTGAGATGTGTCATGTGACGCGACCTGGAGTCCGCCCTCTGCGCGCGGCAGTCAGAAAACGTCGCCGACTTCCGGCCTAGTCCGCTTTCTCTTTATCATTATTGGCGGATGCCGGAGGACCCGCCCCCGGGGGAGTATACAATGTGCAAAGCATAAACCCGACTGAACAGAACACAGAACCTCTATACGCTGAATACAAAATGATATATATGTAAATAGACGTGAAAAGAGCCCAAAAACATTCCCCCAAATCGCGGGAAAAAGTATCAACCACAAAACGTGGAGAGGAAGGAGAGATCCGGGTGACTGCGGAACGGAAACATTGTATCTCTTCCCGGGAATAATTCTTAGAAAATATCAACTTCAATTTAAAAACCAACAAAATCATCTTCATCGGAAGAAAGAATATGGCGGGACATCGTGGCGCGGTTCACACGCTGAGCGTTTTTTGCGCGTTTTCGATCGCGCGTCTGTCCATTGAAAACCGCCCGGTATTCAACGCATA